GAATAACATTTTTGTATCCTTACAGAAATTTTCAAGTGTATTGTGGGTGTTTTTTTTTTCCCAAAGGTATTTATCAGACTAAAGCAAAAACTGTATAGTCTGATTCTTTAAAAGGAATTTATGAAATTACGCAGTGAAATAAAGGTCACATTTTCATGTGACTTTCAGGTCTGATGAAATTATAAAAATATAAGATACTAAATTTCAGTATACAAAAGCGAAATTAAATAAAGATTCCACAGCTTATAAACATAGAAATCGACACCAAGTCAACATAATAGGGTACAGAACAGATGAGTTACGAAACTGCACAATGGAAAATTTCAACCAAAGCCACAGTCCTTGCTTACCTCCAAACTTAATTATTAGCCACCTTTGACAAATGTTAAAATGCTCAGGGGATAATACCACATGATGTGACATCTAGTTCATTAGGAATTTGGGACATTACCCCTTTTAACCTTCCACCCCACCCCTTCCTTGTATAGTTCACACTTCTAGCTATAGGATTATATATTGTTCGTGTGAACAATGTAATAGTATATGTAATAGTAATACTATACTGTATGTTATTGAATAAAAATAACTAAAAAAACTCAACAATGGACACGCGCTCCTGGCATGAGCCTATTTTTAAAGCATGGTATTGTTTGATTTACTATCATCTGATAAGTTTGTATGCTTCATGACAAAAAAAAAAATCATATGTAAACATCTGTTGGATGGGAGCCAGACGGTCAATGAATAAGGACACTCCTCCCAAAGGGCCCAAACAGGAAATATTATATAAATCTTTTTGTACTTGGTCACACCTTCTAAAGGAAAGTCAAAGGTCATGGGTTGTTAAGATAAGCTTCACTTTCCTCCTGAATCCCCGACTCGACTATAAATATCACAATTTTATCTGGACAAAACCATCACTAGCCAGGTGTCCAAATTTATTCCAGTCAAAATAATAAAAGTTTAATGGTAGGCTATCATACAATTAGCAATTGTTTTGTGGGTAGGTTTTAAATTGCTAGGCAAATGGCCAAGCCTGTTTATTTCAATCAAAAATAGATAAGTGTGTAGTTAGCAAGCACAATGATTGGATCATAGCAGTGAAATCTAGACATGGCCATCACTGACCAAAATAATGACCAAGCTTGTATATTCTAATCAAAATTAGGTAAACAAAGTTGTGCAATGTTTGGGGTATCATGTGATCTGGAGGTCCATCAATGGTCAAGTTTATCCTGGATCAAAATGTAATTTTGGATGAGGCAGTCCAGACTAATATACTGTACAGTATTGGGCAAAGAAGTGTATGGTCAACTTTTTTTTTTGGCTAATAGGTCTAGGAGCAGAAAATACAGTGCTTGTACAGCAGGCTGTTATTAAAAAGCCTTCTAGGTTTAAATTACTGTATTTATTCGAATAAATGCCCTGGGGCATCTATAGTTGAAAAGGTTTTTTGCGTGGGTACATCTATTTGAAATTGAGAGAGGCATTTATTCCAAATGAGGTTCTGAAGGCAAGGAGGATCAGTTAATTCGAGCGGGGAATTTATTCAAAGCGGGTGTTTATTTGAATAAATATGGCAATAAATTTTGGTATGTTTATAGTAAAGCAGTAGCCTATTGTGGTTACCATTTTTTAGCAGATGAAATGTATGGGATGACTGGCAATAACCCTACCAGAATTAGGCTAAAAAGCCTAGAAAATGCACTGTCTTGATTCATCCAACATAATTTTCAAATGTTGCTTTGCTTGGCAACACAACTTTTTGGACATTTTTTTTGGTCATTAACTTTTTACAAATACTTTTATTAATACATCATAGAAAATGTAAATTTGTAGTTTTAATGATTTCTTTTTTCACATCATCTGTTTCTAATCTCAAGCAAATTTTAGACAATTAATACATCAGATGGCAAACTTAAATTAATTAAGAACAAATCATAATTTATTCAAGTAAAAAATGTAACTATGGGAAAATATGTATAAAGCTAAATATCTTTGGAACTTTTTAAAAAGGCCTACAGTATTTAGACTTATTTTTTCTTGTATATTTCATTACTAGAAGTTCAGATTTGATTAAATTGCAGTCTTATTACTGTACATTGCCAAATTGTTGCATAGAGCATATTCGGTCATCTTTTTTTTTTCTGGAAATGGGGGAGGGGAAAGCAGACAGATTAAGAGTATATAACTTCACAATGCAAACCACAGAAATAATTTCCGAAATTCTCATTCGTATTTTATCCATGTAATTCCAACAGTAGACAGTACACTAAAGTTGGCCTATAATGTACCGTAGCTATGTGGGTGTGTCTCGTGTGTCAATGGCATGCAGTACTTTAGACATCTTTATGGAGAGAAAAATAATAAAATGTGGGTAAGATTAGAAATGTAGGACCTACACTTTTATTATTGATAATATTAATTTGGCCTTGTGTTCCAAAGGCTAGGCAAACATGTAATTGAAACCTACAGGTTGAAGACATTATCCATAGTTCATGTAAATAGTAGTCGACCTGTATCACTATTCCAAGTTCATAGGCAGGTGAGTCAACCTGCTTGAAATTGTCAACTGATGATTATTTATTCATCAAGTCTATCAAGTCGTTTTCCAGTTATATAACATGGACAAGTACTATATAATACATATCTGTAGTACAATACATTAAAACAGGTAAACAATGGTCAGGCGCAAACTTGGCATTTTAAGTAAAATGTTCAATTTCTAGGTGTCTACTCCATTCCCATCAGAGCATTTTTAGTGTTAAATTCCCAGTTATTGAGATGAACTCATGAATAAATTTATGAGATAGTCCAAGTACCCAAATCCTGAACAATCCACATGTATACCGCCTAAATGTTAGCAGACAGCCAGGTTTATATACAGAAATTTCATTCACACAGCCTATCCTATTCTTGATCAGATAAATTTACTAAGAATACAAACTACAGTAATTCATCTATGCTCATATCGCATCCAAATTAAATATTTTGTTTTGTCACATACTCGAGGCTGAGTGTGTATCTATAAGATCTCTTCGAAATCATAAAAGCAAACAGAAAAATATGGCGAGCCAGTCAATGGAGTATCGATGCCTGCTTGTCTGAAGAGGCAATAAGGGTCATTAACTACAGCTTTGCAACATTTTATCTCTGAGGGCAACTTGCAGTTAGTACAATGCAGTTAACATTAGAACAACTATTGATCAAAGAAATCTGACTTCAAATACAACAAAATAAGTTTCATCTAGTACATTTTCATTTAATATTTGTGTCTATAATAAATTCCATATGCATTAAAAAAAAAAAACATTTAGCAAGACACTACTGTACTGTATAAATATTAAGGCTGGCTTCCCTCTCTGTGCTTCTCTCTGTGTGGAGTAACTGTACTATAGTGTGTATCTTTTTTTTTAAAGGGTAGGAATGTATCTTTTTTGTTTTTCTTCTTTTTTTTTATGGCAATTGCCAAATACAAGAAGTTACTCAAGGTATAGGCTTGATAAACAGTAACAAAATCAGGACAAAAAGAATATGAAATGCTGGCATTTCCTTCCAAGTATCTTATATTCATCACCTCAACCACTTTCGATATTGCATATTCTTACGAAACCCACGACCTTCCAAAAACTTTGCATGTTGTGCCAAAGTTAAGTTCTTTCGTTTCTCTCTGAATGTTATTATTATTATTAATGTTATATTATTATATTATAATATTATACAATATACAGTATTTATACAAGATTAAATTTATGGTGTATTTTAGGTTTACGGTAAACATGGAGGAATAACACATTTTAGACTGATATTTTTTCGGTTTTAGTTTTACTTTGCTTTAAAACCAAAAATGTGAAAATTCAATGCATTTCCATTGCAGATTTTAACTATTTTGATTAATATGAAAATAAGCCATCATCATTATACATTACCAAATATTATTTTTCCATTTGCAATTTGCCAAGTTATTTTAATTTTAGTTAGTATTAGTTGTTATTTTAGTTTTTTTTTTATTGTTATGAGAATAAAGGTTTAACTATCTACTTACTGTATGTATCACAAATATGTATCACAAACACAGATAAACATTCATACTATAAATTGTATAACTTTGTACAGTAAATGTAAATGCAACTTATATGTTACTTTTTTATTTTGTTTAGCCGAATGGTAATGGTATGGTTTTAATAACTTTCAATCTTTAATGTTCTTTCAGTACCAGTATCTATAAACGGTTTCGTTATTACTTTGGGCTTTACAATACAATACAATCCAATCTGAAAAACACAAAAAAATAAGATGAACCTTCTTCCTCTGAATAAAAGTTCAGACACTATTTATTAATGCACAGGTAACAAATAGAGGATTTTTTAAAGAAAAGTTTTACAGTCAACTTAAAATCACTTGGCCATGAAACACAAATTTTCATAAAGTCGCATGGTTAGAGTAAACAATGACAAAAAAAAAACAAAAAAAACAGAAATCTGAAAAAAAAATCTTGAATCCTGGTGATTTCAGAATAGGGCCTATGTCTAACTCATATTATGATGAATTTATTGTTTTACTATGATATTCTCTTCTCCAATACATATAGTACCAACAAGCATAAAAAAAATATATTAAACATCTCTTCTTATGTTAAAATAAACCGTAATTACAGAATCCATTAACAGATATTTTCTTACATAAATTTTGATTGAAATCCAAATTCAAGGGAAATGTGACCGTTTCTTCATTGAATACCCTTGCAATAATCTAGTACAACACACAGAGGGAACAGTCTACATACATGCCTATCTAAAGCACTGCTGCAATAGGCGCTACTATCCACCATTCTCGGCCACAAAAATGGACTAGGAAGGAGGCCCTGGCGTAGGTAAGAATCAATCGTTCTATTCATCCTGCACTAACAATTACTGAAAATATGGGGTCAGCCACCCATTCCCAGGCTGCGTATTTCCAGCCCTTGTTTGCAATCAATGAACGATAAACGTTTACAATACCTGTATCCACCGACTGTGCAAAAAGTATCAGTCCAAAGAGAAAGCATGTGGAAAAAATCAGCCGATGAAACTTCATCATAGCAATGTGTTTTCTTCTGGTCTTCAAAAGCCAGTTAAGTAGTGATACAAATGAAGTAGTTATTATCCAACATCCAACATCCAACATGTGATCCTCAGTGTAACAATGTATGTGTAATTTTAATACTTATGATAAGTCCACACCATCAGTTGTACTTGCCGTCACGGACCACTGCTCTGATGTGTACGTAACTATGCAAATTAGATGATGAGGGCTGAACTGTTTTACTCTGTCACCCACGTGGTATATTGTGAGACACGCGACACTGCATTTCACACTAAATAGCGGCTGGCTCACTGAGATTTTTTGGTGGTTTTTTTTCCGTTTATTACTTTTGACCACTTTTTGTAGTAAAAGAAGGATGCACCGCTTTTGTGGACGTGTGTCACTGGTTATTGTTCTACTGTATAGCGATGTCAGTGTAGGCCTACTGTATTTTGGTTTTTGTGGGGTGGTGGTTTTTTGATGAACTTTTGTAAACCAATTGGTTCATGGACATTACAGCGAGAATTACTGCAGACAACAATAGTTACACGTGACACAAGGTTATATCTCAATATGTACCGGTAACTGGAATGTAGCATGTATACTTTCTGTCTCTTATACACATCTAGATGTGTATAAGAGACAGTATTATAATATTGGAATGCAGTGTAGACCTTATCATGTACGGGGTAACTCAACAAAAACAACGTTACTTGCGGGTACAATCTGTATATCATAATAGGCAGATTAAAGAGAAGCCCATCACCACCTTTTGTTTTCAAAATTTAAACAGAAAGATGGGGGAAAATAACTAGATTCGATTTTTTTTTAGTCTGTGCCACTTTCTTCGGCCATCTAGAAGTGCCACAGACATGTCTTACCAGCCTCACCATGGTGGGAAGCGCCGAGGTGGTCTCAGCCCTTCATCTCGATAATATTGACATTTTGCGCCGTTCTACATCTCCTGGATCCACCACTGAAAATAAATGAACCTATAACTTGTATTCGATGTGGCCACGTAGGCTTAAATCGATATTAAGTTGATTCAGGGACAGTTCCAGGTCCAATTAAATTGTAGTAGTAGCAACGATTTTATCGTTTTACCATGATTATGACGTCATCTGATTTGATTTGTTTATTTTGTTATCGTATACACGATAAATCGTTATCGAATCGTCCTAGTGTAAAAACTTATCTTATTTCTTTTGTTTTCTATATGAACAATCGCTTTTTAGCTTTTTTATCATTATCGTTTATCGTTGAAGAAGTATAAACAGACCTTAACGCTGTTGAAGATTTATCTTTTTTTATCTTTTTATTTTCCGTGGGTGTATTATTGCCAATGGTGGGATGATTAAAAGAGGAGTGGAGATAATAAAGTAATTATAGTCAACCAATGTAAGAGTGGAGATTTGTTTATAATGGACTTCCGCAGTATGGTACTGACAATGATAATCATTAAGAAACGTAATAATTCAAGTTACTTGTTGATTTAAATTGTCTTTCTAAATAAATTTAACAAAATCATTACAATTTAGTATTGTTAATTGTAACATTGAGTCTATAAAAAATCATTAAATCTGTCATAATTAGCACAAAAAAAGCTGTTCAGCAGAACCACCCCTATTGGTCGACCTTGGAGAACTGATGTGTATTCAGGAAATCATTCGTTTGGCAAATTAATTTTAGGAGTCTTCGGACATCCGACGATTTTTTACAGCACTCTACAATCCATCCTATAACTTATTTCATGTGTTGTCAATAAAATCGAGAACCTGGAATTATTACTGGGAAGCACTTCTAACTTATTACAAAATTTCATCTTTCAAATTGGCTATTTTATTCTGATATAAACGTCAAAAAGTTATCAAACTGTAGAGGGCGATCGTCCGATTTCTTTACGAAGCGAACCTTGTCAACATTAGGCCTGAGTAGTACTATGAATAAGAGCGATCGTCCGATTTCTTTACGAAGCCAACCTTGTCAACATTAGGCCTGAGTAGTACTATGAATAAGAGTAACGTTTCGATATTCGACATTCTGTGGATATGTGTAACTACATTTTTTACGCATATCACACAGTCAAAGGCACATAGACCTACTCTTTATGGCGACTTAGGCCTATTATTAATTATTTAAAAGAAATCACATTATGCATTTAATGAAATATTAATGTAGGCCTATTTACTTTACACACTGCTGCCAATTTTTTTGGTAGGTACGGAACTCGCCGATTCCGCCAAAAAAAAAAAAAAAAAAACACATTTAAAGACGATCAACAAAGATTAAGATATAGAATTACCAATACTTGCACCACATACTTCGTATTGAAGTTTGTTACAAATAATAGGTTTACACTGACCTTGTCAAACTTATCGATAGACGCTATACATGCAGTGGGCGTAACGGTGAGTTAAGGGGCCCAGGGGCGAGAAATTGTTGGAGGTTCTGTATGTATTAAAATACGGTATTTTCGCTGGGGACTGGTGATTGGACGTTGGCACCAGAATGCACACAGGCGATAAGCCATTGGTCAAAGCTAAGCTCATTAGTAAGTTTCAATGGTAGCAGTCGCCCCAGGGCCCCTTTGGAGTGGGGTTAATGAAGAGAGCGCGATACTCCATGATTGTTGACGCTTAACATCAACCAATGTCGATGGGCCACTGACTTAAAGACTTTTGTCGAATATAACTGAATTGATATTATATTAAATATCTAATGGACAATCTATCAGCGACTAAAGAACTGGTCTGAAAACTAGCATTGTTAAGAGGGAAATAATTAAACAGGCCTATTACTAAAGACGAATACTGTTAATTAGATAGATCGCAAATTAAGTGTTTTTGTGATGTTTTTTGTTGGAGAAAAAAATAGAGAAAAAATATATTATTAATAATGAAAAAGATAATGATAATAATGATGATGATAATGATAATAATAATATTCATAAGAAGTAATAATAAAATATAATTATGATGATTTGGATGACTAACATGGGGTCAATATGAAGATAATGATGGCATAATAATAATAGGCCTAAATATTTACAACAAAAAGTAACATTATACACAACAATACCGGTATTATTACTGTCATGATCAAGAGATAAATTAAATTATACCACCATCATTTCGAAAATAAATAAGTATTTCAGTATTCGTAACACAAATCTGCGATCACAGTCTATCTTTAAATAACATGTTTCGAGTTAAATTTATTTAGTTCAAGCTAAGCTTTAGGCCTAACCTAACTCTATCATCCACACTATTTTACAGGCGTACGGACACATTTTGTCTTTAGGCAAAAATATTTAAAAAGTACTGACAAATTTAAAACATTTAAAAAGCAGACCTATGTCACACATAATCAATAGGTATAATATCCATAGAAAGAATACTTACATAGAAAGAAAAAAGTCCAGCAAACACTTATTAATAATCACAGTGTAGCCAATGCCTTGGGCTTCATACTGCTTGATAGATGGCGTACTTCGCTACCAATTTTCGCACTCACTCACTTACTGTCGGTAAAAGCTTGAGGAAGTACCGTATTTATTCGAATACGTTTACTGTTAAAAAGGGTTTTTGAGGAGGCGTTAGTTCGAGGCGTTTATTTATTCATTTATTTTTTGTGTAAAATGGATACGTATATACTCAAATAAACGCCCCTTACTTAATTTCACTGTATGTAGATCTACAACAAAATGTGTTATTGCGTGATCATAAAGCCTTACTGATCCCAACCAGGTTATAGAAAGTTTAATTCTACTGGAGCAGAACTTTAATAGAATGTGTTGATAATGATGTTGCTTCCATGATATTTGTTAACAATCATTTAGGGGGCGTTAATTCGAGAAGAAAATAAACGCCCCGGGGGCGTTTATTCGATGGAGGCGTTTATTCCAAGTGAGGCTCAATAGGGGCCTTTATTAAAAGTATTGCATTTATTCGGCTAAAAAAGAGAGGTGAGTCGGTTTTGGTATTGCTTATTGAGCACCGATGTTAGTCAATTCGTACTACAGCAAATCATTCTCATACGTGCAGCTAATGTATACTGTAGAACACTAATAATTTGATTTATGATTTGATTTATGATTTGATCTATGATTCAATATAAACCAGCAATGAAAAAATAGCCTTCAGTCATGCGGGCTTCAGGCAAATTTTGCAGGAATTAATTACTCTGCGGCTTCTAAAACTTGGCTATAGTTGCATAAAATTAAACTTGTTACTTCGATATATCATCAATACACTTTTTTTTTTTATAAGAACACATTTTATATGAACACCGAGGCTGAAACTGCTTTAAAATTAAGAACAAAATAAGAACAAATTGAGGCTGAGGTAAAATGTCAAATGAGATTTTTATTTTTTTTTAAATAAATAAATAAACAAAATATATCTGTACCTTATGTGTAGTAGGTGTGACTATGTAATACTCTCTATAATACAGTACAGCTGGCGTACTTCCCTGTCATTTGGGGGCATTTTTTCCGAGGCCACTTTTACATTTTACATTCCAGTACCGTGTATAATGCTGTACAATAACAATTGTTTTTTATATTTGAAAATTGAGTAACATAAGAACAGCATAAGAACATTTTGAGCTTGAAATCAGCCAAAAAATAAGAACACTGAGCCTGGGCAAAATTTTTACTGGCCCTCTATAAAAAAAAAAAAAGTGTATTGTATTTTCCTCGTACTGCGTAATAGCAGTGTAATTTAAATACTTTTGATCATATTCTACTTTGACTTTAATAGGTAGACCAACTATGTTTCAGTAGGATTTTTTGAGCGATATCAGCAAATATTGAGGTTACCACTCATTAAAAAAGTTCTCCAACCATGTAACCACTGATCTCTACGTAGAGAGTGCATGTAACCCGTAGCAATACACGCGCACGCTCTTCCCCTGAGTGTCACAGGCTTATGGATTTCTATTGGCCAGCGGTGCGCTTTACGCACTTCGCGCGTACAACAGAAAATACGAACAACCTTTGTTACGTAATTCGTGATTCAAACAAGTATCAACTTGGTATCAATGAAAATTGTGATGTAATAATCAGAAGTATCTTCTTCTTTCAACCGATGAACATTGCTTTGAAATTGCTCTTCATTCAAACGAAATATTATCGCTTTCAATCTCCCAAACCAGTTGAAATACGACGCATCGATTCTCTTTTGCGTCTGCTGCACTTATTGACTTTAGAATGGCAAAATTGAAGTTTAAGAGAGAAAGAAATTCATCTTTAGATGAAGACCAGAGAACGGCGGCTAAATTACCAGAATTTTGTCCGGCCACTTTGCGCGTTACTAGGTCCAGCCAACAGAGGAGACCAAGGCGAATGTCTAGGGGTTGTCCCTACACCAGAAGAAATGCTAGGATTAGTACTTACAGTATTCGTGAGTTAGTTGTAGTAGAAGAATTAGATGCACTTTTGAAGTCGGAAATTATTTCAAATTATTATGACATTGATGGAAATTACTACTCTAGGCCTAGTATTAGTAGGCCTAGTACGCCTAGTAGTAGTAGTAGTAGTAGTAGTTGTAGTGGTAGTGGTAGTGGTAGTAGTAGTGGTAGTGGTTGTGGTAGTGGTAGTGGTAGTGGTAGTAGCAGTCATAGTGTTAGTAGCACTGGTAATAGCAGTGGTAGTAGCAGTGGCAGTGGTAGTAGCAGTGATAGTCGCAGTGGTAGTAGCGGTGGTGTTGGCAGTGGTAGTGGCAGTGACTATAGTAGTAGCAATGGTAGTAGCAGCAGTAGTTACAGTAGGCCCGAAAACAATTCTAGTGGCGACAGTAGTAGCACTGTTGTAGTAGTGGGCGATGGTGATATATTGTTTCATTTCCCAGCCAGTGACCCCAATTCCTCTGACGATCTTATGAATGAAAGCTATGAATATGAAAGTAATACAGACTTTTTAAAATCATTAAATAAAAGACAGAAAATCACTCGAAATCCTTGGGCGCACTTCTCGACGACAGAGTCGGTCAGAGATCATATGGTTGATTTTATGCTAGATATCCAATCAGAACTCAGACGTTATGGATACGTCATCGATTATAACGTAGTTCAACGTGGTATTTCGATTATAGAAAAAGTAATGATTTGTGATAAGACAGCATTTGGTCTTGCGGAGCTGGAAGAAATGGCAATCGCAGCATTATGCCTTGCATTGAAATGCGCGGAACGATACCAGTCACGACACATCATCTCATATGCTTGCGAATATATTCAGGGTGGTTACTTCGATCCCAAACGAATTTCACAAATAGAAGCTAAAATATTACGGATTTTGAACTTTAATATCAATAGCGTCACTTACCTCGATTTCATTCATGTCTTTTGCGATATTGCTATTAGTAAGACTGACTCTAAATACGGCAAAAGAAGAATAGAATTATTAAGACGCGAATCTGTGAAATATTCGATTACAAGTAAACAGAGATTTGTACCCAATATTAAGCCGTCCACATTGGCATATTTGTTTCTGCTTAGCACTTGTGAACAACTGAACTTGCATTTTGAATCTGTTTTTGGCGAATATTAGCATATTGCCTATAATTCTATTTACTTCACTAACATTTACTTTTCAGGTTAATTATTTAAATCATTCATTAATTAATGTTTTCATGTACTAATTTTATGAACTTTATAATTTTATTAGTAAATATAGGCCAACTACTATAGATCGTAGCATAAATTAACCTTAGTGCTATGAAGATAACAATTCATTAATTAGTAATATTATTTATCTTGAAAGAGTAATGCAGTTTTTGACTCAAATTGTATAGGCATATTGTCTAATATAAAAATAAATGATAAATTATAAAGTACAGCCGCGTCAATCTAAATAAATCAATACGAATGACGACAGAAAATCAGCACTTTCAAGAATAACAATAAATACATTTTCTTTAGGTTAACTGAAGAAAATAAATGTAATATTCAATTTTAAAATAATTGTGAATGTGCACTACTAGACTTCAATAAAATTAGGAACAAGGTTTCACTGGTACTCTTTGGTCTTTAATGTCTTTCCAAAGATCCTTACCGTGAACTATAACAGTAAAATATAAAACAAGTTAATTACACAACTGCAACTATAATTGATTTTCTCTAAAACATTATCATGGTTTTTCCCATGCAACTCAAAATTAATTAACCGTAACAGAATTTTCATTAGATCAGAGTAATTATAGCATAGTCACTATATCTTTAATTTTGTATTATTAATAC